TTGATGATTATTTGAGAAAAGAACAATTTGGTTGACTGATTTATAAATGACTAAAAATTTAATATAAAATATTGACGATGGATTTTTTTTATTATAGGAAACTCACAAACATGAGTAATATTTATATGTAAGAGCCAGTCACTAAGGGTAATGTAGTAAGTATTAGTTAATAATGTTTCAATAGATTGTATATCTGTTTTTAAAAATTTAACCGATATACAATATTTACTTTCAAAATTTCTATATTAACATATTAAATAATTTCTAATTTGAATTGCAATAATAAATAATAAATTTTAATAAATTTGATTTTGAAAACATTGTACATGAATAAAACTAATATATTAATGATGGAAACAACTGTTGGTGATATTGAGTTCGAATTATGGGCAAAAAAAACTACAAAGGTGTGTAGAAATTTCATGCAGTTATATATGGAAGGTTATTAGGATGACATTATACTTTATAGAATTATCAAAGGATTCATAACACAAGGTGGGGATCCCACCGGAGAAGGTGGTAAAATATATGGAGATCCATTTAAAGTGAAACTATATTTAAAAATAAAATGAATTCCTTTTTTATTCAAAAATAATTATTGGATATATGCGTTTTAGGACAAATTTCAAGATTACATTTTTGTCGACGAGATTTAATTGCTATGGCTAATGCTGGAAAAGATGAAATAGTTCCCAATTCTTCTTTATTCTTACTCTACAGCAGAGTTGCAGAATGAAGTAATGAGGAATAACTGGTAACTCGTAATTAATAACTAATTACTTATAACACATAACTCATAATTCATAACTAGTTAAAATATTACTTAAAATATTCTATAAAATTTCAAAAACTTTGTTATTAAAAATGTCAAATTAGATTTTATGTTACTTGTCTCAATATGTTAAATTTAATTAGCAAATACTTACGTTAAAGCAATGGTTTGCAGCTTGTAGTAACATTATTTACAATTTAATTATACTCATAGGTACATATAATTCTTATATTTACTTTCATATATTTAATTTTGGTATTACTGTATTTTTATATGATAATTTTATTGTAATGATGTATTGATCTACGATGTTGTAATGATTTATGGACTAAACAATTATTTAATATCTTAATGTTGGTAAATGAAATAAATTTCTACATATATTGCTACATAGTAATAGTTATTTCTATTAGATGCATATATCCTAAACAGAGCTATATAACTTCAAACATCATCTGTAAAAATAAAAATTTATTCCTGTGTAATACTATTACTTTAATTATAATATTAATTTTCTGAAATTGTTTCATTTTAAAATTTAAAAAATCATACCTGTAAATGTTAATATACATATCCTTTATTGTGTTTTATTGTCAAATTTACTGAATTAGCTTATATTGTAAGAAATGAATTTAATGATCTTATAAAGCTCAAAGATAATAATATCTTCACTAAAGATAGTGAAAATATTATTAAAAATTAATTTCAATGATTAACTTTCGAGTTTCTAACATAAGGGAAAGCCAAATAATTTATAAAGTCAGTCATTGCTAATATCTTATTAATGAGAATTAATTCACCAAATTTTTGGTAAAGAAACAGATAATGTTAACTATATTAATGAATATATTAATATCTGTATGATTAATATTTATCATATTTATTCAAATACTTATATTTATCATAATTATTAAAAATTATTGACAGGAATAATATAACATATATATATATATTTCAAAATATATGACATACTTCCATCAACCGAATCTCTTTTTCCACGATATGAATAATCATACTATAAATTGAAACTCTAAAATTTAAATAACGAATGCATCACTCACAAAAATCTCACGTAAGTTCCTTTATTATAATGTTCATTTTTTGTTATAAAGCTTCCCAATATGGTATATAAATAAATTTATTTGAAATAAGTAATTGTCATATATATATATATGATCCTAAGCCTTAAGCTGGAGTATTTTCTACTACCACCAAGATCTGCACCGACGGCGGCTCCATATATATATATATATATACTTTATCATTATTTTGTATAATACAAATTATTATAATAGAGATAATAAACAAATTCCAAATCGCTGAAGTCAACGGACTATGAGGAAGAAGAATACTTCGATGACAAGAGGAACAATGTTGTGGAGGATTGTTCTACCGGCAAAGAAGAATACTGCCATAGATATTGAAAATATAACGGTTGATAATACAAATGATACTCATAATCGATAATAAAGAAAGTACATTTACAATTGGTAATTTTAAATAATAATCAAATAAAATAAATGATATCTCGTTTTTGCCGATAATCATAATTAAGCAGTTTCGACATTTGAAACCAAATATTTCGAAATTATTTATATCAGAAGAATATGACGAAGGAAAATTGTTGACCTCATAAATTTATTTTTATGAATATTATATTAATAATTATAATTTATTTGTAATTATTTGTACAAATATAATATGGAAAATGATAAATATGAAAACAATTTTGTCAATGTAAATATTTTATTACATAAACGTTATATATGCAAATTTTTACTCATTTCTTGTTTTCGTGTCAGAACATATATGATATTCTTTGAAATTAAATGTATAAATTGGCGTCAAATTAAGAAAAGATTCAGAATCAAATAGTTCACTATGTACGTTAACAGATGGGGTGTAACAAGGAATTTACCATTTTCTATAGTATTTGTACATCTTAGTTAAACTTGAAGGTTATGGTTGAAGTTTGATGGTAAGAAAGAATGCGTGTGTTTATAACCTATAATCAACTATTGACGTCCAATTTTAAGAAATTATTATAATTAAAAGAAATTGTGTAATATATTGTAAACAACATACATGTTTGTCTTGTATGGTTAATAATAATCCAAGTAAACAATGCCAAAATATTACTGTGATTATTGTGATACATATCTAACACATGATTCACCGAGTGTACGAAAAACTCACTGTCAAGGACGTAAACATAAAGACAATGTTAAATATTTCTATCAAAAATGGATGGAGGAACAAGCGCAACACTTAATCGACGCAACAACAGCGGCATTTAAGGCTGGAAAAATTGCGTCTAACCCTTTTGCAGCAAACAAGGGAGCAGCAATTCCACCACCTCCAAACCTTGGACCACGTCCTGGAGTACCACCACAGGGTCCACCAGGTATGATGCCACCTCCTGGAATGCATCCTGGTGGCCCAATGGGTCCAGGTGGTCCGATGATGATGGGACCACATGGACCAATGCCACCAATGATGGGTATGAGACCACCTATGATGGGGCCTATGGGACCAATGGGGCCAATGATGGGTCCTATGGGACCTATGGGTCCAATGAGACCTCCAATGAATGGACCACCACCACCTATAGGAGGACCTCCACCGATGAAGAAATAATGAAGAAACATATAGTTCTTACCATTATTAACATGTACATACAAATATCAAATGCAGAATAAATCATAAATTTTTTTGAAGACTAAAAATAAATTATAATTAAAATTACATATAACATCAGTATTATTCTTATAGCTAGTATAATTAAATTTAATTCTTTAATCAAAGTAAAATTTTATATTGCAAAATAATTATACATTAGATAAGAAATATATACGGGATAAGAAATATAAAATACTATTTGATTTTGTTTGAAAAAATTACCTTTTTATTTATTAAAAAATGGACAAAACGATGATTTGTCTATAGTAATTCTCTACTTTAATAAATATATTGCGGGATACTGTTAAGTTATTCTTAACAAAAAGTATAATAATTACTTAAACTAAAATAATATTATATGTATTTCAGACATTATTTATGTCAAACTGTATAAGCTCTTAAAATTTATTTTATGCTTTAGATTTATTATCTATATGTCAAATATTGATTTAATTACTATAATTTAAGAAAATATTAAATCATATACATATACCTTAAATCATATAAATAGTAAAAATGAAAACACAATTATGATACCGTTGCATACAATGTAACATTATGCAATACAATTTTATATAAAATGCAATAAATCATTTTATCACTTGTAAATTAATTTTATTTTAAAATATCTTAACTTTATTAAAAGGGTTTTTGAGGAAAATTAGAATGTTTAGTATATTAAAAATGCCAACAGACTTTTATTTTATTCATTTAGCACTGTATCTTAAAAAATAAAGTTTACTGAAAATAATTACAAAATGAACTTACATATTTTCTGTGATCTTTCTCCAAATTTATTAATCTTTGTAAAGTATCAATATGTTCTTGTTTAAGATTTTTATCATTTATTCTTTTTTGAATTTCTCCAACAGCTTGATTCATATATGGTAAATTAAATTCAAGAGCTTCTTTTATTATCTCATTAGCGTTATTTTCTAAAGATGTATCAATAATTGTTACTTCATTTTGTGTGACTTCTGAACTATTTTGTAGATCTAGTTTTGCCTTTTTTACTTTTTTAGACTTTTTCTTTTTGGTACCACTTACTTCAGAATTAATTTGATTATCTTGTTGCTGTATGTCACTTGTATTTGCTTCTTCGTTGTTGCTGTTTAATGTTTCTGACTGTTTTTCTGTATTATTCCCTGATGGCTTTATTTTGGCACAAGGTACATTTTTAATCTTTCTTGATGGTTGTATAGGTTTTTGTCGAGGTATATTCTGACTGTGTGGCAATTCTATACATTCTATAGGATGAACAACGTCAGAAGATTCTGTAACATTATGTTCTATATTGTGTTCTTCATTAGAAGTATTTTCTGCATTATATGGTATAATTTGGATATTGTTAGGATGTCTGTTATTATTTGTTGAAGTATTCTTAACACTAGTGAATATAATAGAAGGCATATGTTCATCTCGTATTTCAATATCTTTTGATGAACATGCATCATTATCATTTGTTTTACTATATGCCTTTTGAGCATTCATAGACTCATTAAATTTATGTAAATCTCTTACGAATGTTTCAAAATTACATTTCTTTCTTTTTTGCTTCTTATTTATATTGTTTTCTTTTTCTTTATTTCTTTTATTATTCACATGGTATTTTCTAAGAAGACGTTGTAATTCAACATTTGTCAATGAACGAGGCAGAAACATTTTATTATAAATAACAATAATCTTCAAATATAATGTTAAGAATATTTCAGTGGTTCCACATCTTTTTAAATATTTGACTACTTTTTTTAACTTTTTTAATACGTCACTACATCTAGGTTTTGTGTGGAATATTTTTATTAAATTGCTTCGACATTCCAAGATTTTCTTTGAAATAGCAACAGATCTTGCAGGGTCCTGAATATTAACCATTAATTTTTGTAATTGATCTATTTCACTGCAAAGGTAGTTTGGATCTTGTGAAATCTGATCTTGTGAAATCTGATCTACTTCCTCTAATTTTGTTGTTAATATTTTAAGCAATCTTTTTGTATTACGTGGAAGATGTATACACATCTCCAAATTTTTATCTTCATTACTCAGTTTAAGCCAAAAGATAAAAATTTCAGCTATATATCGACACAAATCTGCTGTAGATCGAACTCTCATCATTAGTTCTTTATTTGGATTACAATATATTTTAATTTCAAATTTAATTAGTTTTGTCAATTGAACCAAAAATGCTGGAAAAACACGATCATTTAAAAGACTTGATAGATGAGAAGGTAAAATTTGGTCACCCAAAAGTTTTCGTTTCAGCTCCTCGCCAATAGGTTGCTTTGTATAAAATTTGCCATATGAATATAAAACACAAGAACTATCCAAATCATCTTTGCCTTGGAGAAATATCATACTTTTATGTTTTTTAACATTAGATAATGGTATTATATCTTCGTTAGTATTTTTGTGAACAGGAACTTCATATTCTGGCCCACCTGTATAATTTGATACATATGCTGGTGTTGGAAAATGTTGTGACCACTGATACTCACTACATGTGGAAGAATCATGTCCTCGTTTGGTGCAATTACAGCAATAAAGTAAATCTGCAGGTTTCATAACCTCAGATAAATTTTCTGGTATATTTATTTCAGATATTCGTGTCTAAAATATAAAGCAAAAAGTATAAAGTAACATTACTTTTTCCAATGAGGTTATTAAATGCTTTAAAAATTATATGTAATCATATAAAGTATTTAAGTAGTACACAACAACAAACTTACTGTTTGATGAAATCTCCTCCAAAGATCTGGACATTCAGATGATTTGTGTCCTACAGCACTGCACATATCACAATACAATATACGACAAGATTCACAAGTTTTTCTAAATGTACCTTGCTTTTTACCACACTGTAAATAATTAATATATTATTATATAATTATAATATAATGTATTTTGTATGATGTATATTCGAACCGTGAGGCACATTTTTTGAGGACATCGAGTTTCCGTATGTCCTTGTGTACCACACATGTGACATCGAAGAGGTTTCAGTAGCTCTGGACAATTATGTTCCCGGTGACCTTTTCGGAAGCAATTAAAACATTTCATGTTCCAATATCTGTGACGTTTGAGTAGACCTGGCATCAGATCTTCATCTAAAATAGCCCAAAGCTTTGGATCCTCTATAATTTATTTAAAATATAAAATATTTAAAAATATGAAATTAATAAATAAACTGTTAAAGACTCACTTGACATTTTACTTTGAATCTCTTCTACATCAAAATTCTGTTGTTCTCTAGATTCGTAGAAAGTTTTAAGATTTTCTGATATAGGTTGAAAAATATATTCTTCCCATGACTTTTGATTATCATCAACATTATGTTGTTCAGTACTAGGTTTGAATCGTTTATTTTCAATACCTAAATCTCTGTTTTCTTGCACACTTGTAGAAGGTACATTGTCATTTTCATAATGCCGTTTTCTGCTTGGAGTTACTGCTTCATCAGAATTAATAAAATTTGATACCATTGTATCTTCTGCAAAATTAATTGATTTATTTTTATCTTTTTCATAAATAACATTACTGTTATCAAAAGGTTTAGGTGATTGAAATTCAGATATATTGTCTATGTTAGTGAAATTTTCATAGAAACTTTCATCTTTATCAGAGTACTGAACTGATTGAACATTCTTACTCATCTGCATTATTTCTTTTATGCTTGAAGCACCCTTTTGTATTGCTGTACAGTTTAACATTATATCTTCTGTTACTGATGTATCATTAACATTATCTATAATTAAAGTACTACAATCTGAATCTTGATCAATTACAGAATTTTTCTTTTTCCTACGTTTAGTTACATCAACTTTCTTTTCTAAGACAAATGAAGATTCTTGATCTGTATCACTGCTACTGCTTGATGATTCAGAACATTCATCAGAGTCCTGTAAATTTATGACAGGTGGTTGAGGTTTTGGAGGAATAGGTACTTCTAAAATGGATTCTTCTGAATCAGTTTCTGTTTCTGATGATATTAATGTTATTTCTTCAGTATAATTGACTGATCTTTTAAACTTATCAGTTCTACCAATTATATCATATTTTGTCTCTATATCGACTTCATTTATAGATTTTCCTTGATGTGACTTTTGATAAAGCTGATTTGTTTCATTTTCTTTAACATTCACTATCTCTTGTTCTTTTTGCCTTAAACTTTTCTCTTTTTCTTCTTCTTCCACTTCATATAATTTCTTCTTCAAATTTTGATATTTTTGTGTATACAATTTATTGATAAATGATTTTGCAAAGTCATATTTCTTTAAAATATTATCAATATTTGTCTTATTATATGTAGTTTGTTGACATTTCATATTGCTATTATCGATATTGTGTTTCAGAGAATTCAAATGAGCAGACTGAGTTATAATCATTTCATTATTCGATGATTGCAAAACTCTTAATTCTTCTTTACTTTCATTTTCTGCTTCTGGTTTTACATGCACATCGTTTTCAATATTACAAGAGCTAGAATAATTTGAATTACTTTGAACATATTCCATATCATGACAAGCTGTTGATTGTTTATTATTTTTTGAAAGCTCAATATTTTCATTAAACTCCTTACAGATATTTACGTCACTTTTATTATTTATGTCCTTATGTAATAATTCAGCTTCACTTGCAAAATGAATAGATTTAATATCTGGTTTGTCATCTTTTTCAATAAATGCTATATTCATTGAATCATTTATTGAACATATTTTTTTATTATTTTTACTAGCATCATTCTTTACAGAAGTATCATTGATGCCACATATTTCAGTAGTACTTGTATTTGTATACAGGTTTTCATTAGTACCAGTAATTTCTAATTTAATATCTGTCTTTTCATCCACATTTTTTGTAAAATTTGAAGTATAATAAATTTCAGCATACAATCGTGATTGTAAATCGTGGTTAACTTCTTCATCATCACTGTTTTCAGCTTTACAATAATCTATAAAATTCAGAATGGTTTACTAAAATTATTTAACTTTGTTACACAAAATTAATAAAGGTTACATCGAAGATTCTCACCCCGAAATACATTATATTCCATCCTTAATAGTGTATTTGGTATGTATGAAAATTTTATGCTAAATAAAATTATATTTTGTAATGTACATATCAAATAAGAGCATCAATATTTTCGAGAAAGGACTCATGCACTCTTAACAAAATTACACATGCCCATACGCTGTACATTTACATATTACTTATTCTTTGTGCAAAATCTGGCTGCTATCTAATATTATGAAGATGAAGGTAACGATACTCGGCATGAAATAGTACGTTACTAGATCCTATAGAGAGCACTTACAGTAAGCATGAGTATATATAGTAAAATCATGGTTTAATAACAAATTTTGAAATATTTATTTTTTGCGGACACCAATATATGATTTCATTTTAACCGTATTAATTGTATTAAAGAAAATAAAAATAATTGCATATGTATATATATTACATATCTGCTATATAATATTTTCTAAAATTCCTAGATATTCTCTAGTACAATTTTGATATAAGGAGATCATTCGGTTGTGTCGGCTGCTTCGGGAAGATTCGGCAGTAACGCGACCAATCACGGTTACTTATAGTTTGCGATCAGTGCAGTTGATAAATGGAGGATTTGTGTTTGTCAAGGTAGTTTTGTTTACGCGTAAATTTTCATTCGGTATCAACACATCGTTCGTTTTGTGTGTGCTAAGAGGTAGATGAAGGTGCGTAACAGTTTCCTTCGGGTTTCGTATTAAATTTAAAAGGTAGGGAAACTATCCGGTTAGAGAAATGTATATTAACGCGGAAACTTGTATTGCACAGCATATGAGCTGTGTAGAAATGAAAGATCATTCATATCAAAAAATACATTGCTTTTTGAAGCATCACTTAAAAGTTGTATTAACATTTCTCATATATTTTTTGGCTAATATGTTCGTAAGAAGTAATGAGGTTATCTTGTGGATATTAAGCACTCAGTAATCTACATTTTTACTTCATAGGTTATGAATTTATTTTCATAGAATTACTAAATGATGTATTCCAAACTGAATAAATGATCCCTAAGTAATATAAAACATTTAATTATAACTATAAAATAGTTTGTATCTTTTCCCTGTAGAAAGATGTTTTAGTTATGTTAGCATAACATCAAAATAAATAACATATACAATTCTTTATTTTTCAATATAGTAATACAGTATGTTAAATAATGAAATGATTGTATATATACAATAAATGAACAATAAATAAGATCATACATCAAATGGTTTCATGCATTACTCTAAATTAATTTTTCTGTAGTTAAAAATTATTCCTGTTTAAGATACATTAATAATAGATCAAAGAATGTTTGATATAATATGTTAGATTTGTATTGAAAATTATATTCTATATATCCTATGTACTTTTAGGTTAATTAACCTATATGCAAATACATAAATCACATTGTTGTTAACAAGCTTAAGTAAATTAAGTTTTTCATGTACAATTTAATGCATTTTATATGTTATGTAACTTTTGTATTAGTTTATAATTTGTATATATACTAATTTAAAACTGTTTTTATTAGTCAAATTAAGAAATGTTATAGAAATATTTGTTACATTGGTTAATGCAAATGTTTATTTGTTATTATTGTGTTACTATGTTGTTTAATATAATTTATATATTCTACAATTAGATCACCATAATGTTCAATAATTTTAGATGTTATTTGTTATCTGTTTAGGATTTAAGATGTCTAGCAACCATAAAGACAAGTATGAAAACTCCAACCCACGTCGTACTCATACTTTTATGTCTACGGAGGATGCAAACTCTGGAAAGAAATCTTGTTGGCCAGAGTTGGAGATAACAGGCAGTATAAGAAATTTAAGTCCAAATTTGTGGCAATTGACTCATCTAACAGCTCTGTATCTCAATGATAATAGTTTACAAAGGATACCACCTGAGATCGGACGATTAGTCAACTTACGTGCTTTAGATCTCAGTAGCAATAAATTACGCAGTTTACCAGCAGAACTGGGGGATCTCATCTACCTCAGGTATTACTTACATTAATATTTGTGTAAATTTATAACATAAATGTAGTAAAATAGTATGTGATATAATTGAATATAAATTAAATTTTATATATGTATATATTGCTCATTTGTATTTTGTTTATATTTCAGAGAATTGTTGTTGAACCAAAATTACCTTCGAGTGTTACCATATGAACTAGGGAAATTGTTCCAATTACAAGTGCTTGGACTTCAAGGTAATCCACTCAGCAAGGAAATAATGGCATTGTATGGAGAACCATCTGGGACTCACAAGCTGCTATCATATATGCTGGACAATTTACAAGGTATGTGATCATTTATTCATTCAGTGAATTATTTTTAATTTCATAATGAACTTAATATTAAAGTTCATTTTATTCTTTGTCAATTTATTATATTTTGTTATCTACTGTTAGCATATAATGATAAGTAACGAGGCCGATGACATTATGGTCGACGTTGATCGATATTAAACGTTCTCGTATTTAAGTATTTCACCGCCAGATGGCTCTATGTGTTTACTTCCTGTGTAGTTCTATAATCTCCAATTACCTTTCGTCTTTTCCTCGTATAAAACATTGAACAAATTTTTTATTTATAACATTTTGAAATAGAAAGTAGAAAATACTAGTTGTTAAGTTACAATAAATTGAATTTGGATTCTTTTTTTTAACATACTAGGAACTTCATCCAATGGATGTCAAATTTAATGAATTATATATTGTATTAGAGTTTTTAAAATTTTATCATTATCATTTTTTTTATTTTTCTTTCTTTTTACAATATGATAAAAATGTAATCTATTGAATAGGAATATTAGTTTTTACATTTTAAATAATAATGCATCTATTTCAAAATTGTGATTAATATAAAAAGAATTGCCAATCATCTAGGTAGATTATTTTAATTAATAGATGAAACGTTTGGTATATAAAATATTTAGATCTAATATCGAGTTTAAATTCTAAGCATAATTTTTCAATATGTTTTCTTTACGCGTCATTTTATTAAATGTTAAAGATTTTTGAATTTTTGGAACTATACTAAACACAAATAGACACTTTTAATATATCTTATATTAAATTTCCAAATACTCTGGTATATTCCTTACTCATTGATTTTAGAAATTTTAATTTTGTTCTTCTGTCTAATGTTCCCAGCGATTCCAATAGTCGGTTATTAATCATATCGATTATTGATCTATGATAAATAGCGCCGTCGGTAATTGTCATGAAGATTAACTCGTTAATCAAACTGGAACGCGTTAATCTGTTAGAAATAAAATATCATTGATGCAAAGTGGCCATTTGAAAGGTCATAAAAATTTCGCGATATCAATGCAGGTTAGACAAGTTGAATGGGCTTATGAAGACCGTTTAGTGCTTTAAAGAACACATTAGAGCCTACATAATTTAATTTCTTTTAACTTCGGGGTCAAGTGGGTGTGCCGGAGCGCAGGCGCGTTGGGTGTACGAGTGGTTACGTTAGGGAATGCTCGGTGAAACGTGGGGGAATTGCAAAGCGGACCAGAAGGGAAGGCGTACTTCTATCTATTGTGTTTCACGATTTTTGCCAGTTACCCGATTGCCTGAAAGGTCTCGGCTGTGTACCATTCCGTTTATCCATTGTTCTCCGACTTTTACTATTCGGCATCACGATACCATGTCTGTCATTTCCTTTTCCAGAGGATACTCCCTCGTCATCAACGTCCTCCACTTTCTTCGCTTCATCTTTCTTTATGTCAAAGGTCGCTTTTCGTATCTAAAATCGTACCGAAAGTATACAGAATGATCAATTTTAATCGGTAAATGCGAATTACTCGTGCTATTTCTTTCTATACTTACTGTATATGGAAAAATAATAGAGTCAAGAATCAAATATTTTAGGTTAAGGGGCCGTTATTAGTTAGATGGCGTTATTAGTTTCTCTGTAGGTTGTTGCGTAGAGGTTATGTTGTAACTTTGATATATTAAATGGCAATTGTATATATTTCTGATGCGTTAATTCACGCAGTTTGATACTTCTTTCGAAAAATGCTAATTTATTTGTTCGAAAAATTTCTATTTGCATTTTTTCCATTGAATTTATCGATTAAAATTAGATACCATATTTATTCGTTATAGAAACGATATTATTATACGAATAAAATATTATTACGAGAACTTCGCCTGTTCTATGTCTAAAGCATTCTTCTTTCTAAACATTGTAAGGGCTCGAAACGATTCGTATGAATGGAAAGTGATATGAGATTTCATATTTACTCATATATTTCATTTCTTTTTCACGCGCATATTAAATAAAGTGAATTCTTTTCTAGCAGCAATCGCTTTACAGCGATACAATTTACACGATTATTTAACTTGCTATCGTTACATTTTATATCAACAATTACATACATATGTTTACCGCACAACGCGTATTTTATTCCAGTTATCTACTCGTATAGAACAAACGTATTTTTAAACTGCGCTCGTATCTCGGGAAATTAAACCGACGAGTTTAGCAATAAAGTAATTCCAATGCCCTGAAAGAGCAGTGAGGTACTCGAAACTTCTAATAAGCTTCATGAAAGAGCTGTAAAAATAAATTGATTTGCTATTGTTTACTCTTTAAGTTAGTTAAGATAAGTTTCAATCTCCATATTGAGGTATTGATAGCTTTTGCATGTCAGAAAAGTATGTTCGAGTATTGGCCTCTAAAAAGTTTTAGATAGATTATTTTCAAACAGATAGGATATAAAATAAATTGGTAAAAAGTGGTAAAAAATTTAGAAGAAAAAGTTTAGTAATTGGAAAAGTTGAAACGAATGATTTCGATAGTTTGTGTTTGCTTTGAATCATGTACGTATTATATAAAGGTAGGTCGAAATATTAAAAACGTTATTTTATTACCGAAATTTTTCCTTAAACAAACGAATATTCTTTCTGTCTTTGTTTTAGAGGTAAGATTGTAAAAGACCTTAATTTTTTTTTTAAATTAATTATTTAAACAATGTTTAATGTAAGCACGTACAGTCGATTAATTTAATAATGATTTATCGTATTATAGTTGATAGGTTGAATAAATTAAATTTCCTTTTTTCAAATTTCTATGGTATGAAAATGATATTGAGTTTTTGAAACAGTGTTGTACACTTTTTCCATCGCGTTTTAAATCAAACAAAATCGGTATATTTTTATTAATAAAAAAATCTCGTAATGTAAAAATATAAAACCAGGAGAAAAGATTGTCGCAATAAACCTTCCGCATGCAACGATTGATGAACTTGTACTGGCATGTTGAATGTTGCTAACACGAGAGATTTATAACTTTTGTAGAAGATATTACCAACTGCTTTACGTAAATAAGACGAAATATAAACCTATGCACATGCAGTTATTGCAATATTTCCAGGTGGAACTAAAAATGTCCCACCATGCATTACGGTACATCAAAAAGGTGGGACACTTTTAATCCCAGCGTGCCCCAAAGAGTTAAGACGTAATCTTTCAATCTTTCGAAGTAAAGTAAACGAGAATTAAAGTAAATTGACACCAAGTTAAAAATATCTATATCACAGGAATTTGTTACGTGTAAAATTTGAAATATTTACAAATCTAATTTAATTTTTAATTATCTGTGTAATATACATTTTAACTAAAGAAAATTTAGTAAACCTATAATACGTACAACAATAACAATCCTTTTAACATCGCCATTGGATGAGTATATATACAGAGATACACAAATATGAGAGAGATACCATGACTCTCTGTAAATGATGTATAATACGAATTTAATGTCTGCAATTTTATCTCTCTCATAAACTTTTAATCCTAGCGTACCCTAACGAGTTAAACTATCACGGTATTTCAGCTATTGTCTTTCTGAAAAACCGAGTCGAAGAGTATTTTCTTCGAATAAGAATACGTATTATCTCTGGTTATCGTAGGTTATCAGTGTTCCATACAGTACTAGTATATTAATCCATTTGCATCCTCGCTTTAAAGAGAGTTTTCCAAGCTTTTGGTTGAAATTGAAACAAACTCTTATGTATATTTCATCCAAAAATTTTCTATATTTTCAAATAAAATCATTCTACATGATGTTACGATATAAATGTTAATTTTTTCCCATAGCTGTACAGTAAATAAATTTAAAATAGGTAAGTCACATTTATGGCGCGCGGTTATGGACTCAAACGGTTAACGATGCAAATGGATTAAGAACTACAAAATACGCTTCTAAGCAATCGTTTCTCCAAACTCCTTACTTATTTCGCAAAAACGTGTATGCGCATTGAAAACTTTATCGTCTCACAACTCTCTCTCTCTCTCTCTCTCTCTCTCTCTCTCTCTCTCTCTCTCTCTCTC